GGGGCCTCCCAAGCCTCTGGCCAAAGCCAACCTTCCCTGGCCTGGGATCGAGGTCCTGGAACTGCCAGGACTCTCTCCCCCGGGCCAAAGCTCGTGGGCAGGGCGGCTCCAGCAAGGCGGGCACCCACAGGTTCCCGGCCAGGCACCACAGCTCTGCCTTACCCGCTGAAGAAAGAGAATGGCAAAATCCTGTACGAGTGCAACGTGTGCAGCAAGAACTTTGGGCAGCTCTCCAACCTCAAGGTATCCGCCTCCCGGGCTCCGTTGCTCCCCTCAGCATCATTCCACGGCCCCCTCCTATCCTGCTTCCAGAATCAAGGACCTGAAAGCCGGAGCAACTTCTGGGCAGCCCCTAGGCTGTGAGCTGGAATGGTTCACTGGGTTCCTCACTGTCATGTTTGCAGAAAGGGGATGCAGGACAAGATGGCCACGAAAGTCCTCTCCACCCTAAGACACTGTCTTTGAGAACATCTCATTTCAATCAAAAAAAGGGGGAAACTGAAGGAAAGGTTTGTCTGAGGTCACTTGGACTTCAGGGTGAGGTTAGGCCTTGATATTAGCCTCTCAAGGTCTACTGCAAACACCTTTCCCGAACAACTATCTTTTTGGATCTCCCGTTAAGCCTCCTCCTGCTTATTTGTTTGAAGGTCCAGTGGGGGAGTGTGTAGATTTTAGTGAGTCTAGACCATGGACCTGATGACCTGACAACCAGCCTTTTGCACCCTACAAAGCAGCGTGTTGCTGTGGGCGTTGTCATCCACATCGCCCGGGGCAGGGGCACCAGGGCCCTTGTCTGTGTGTCAGCAGAGACCGGGCTCTCTGCACATGCTGGTCACACTGAAGTTGAAGAACGGCCCTTCGCGGTCCTCCAGGGTGTGAGTTCTTAAGCTTTAATGAGATTCAAACCTGGAGAGCTAGGAAACATGCAGATTCCTAGGTCCCAGCCCTAGAGATTTTGGATTCATCTGGTCTGGGGCAAGGCCTAAGAATATGCATTTTCCACACGCTCCCAGGTGGTGCTGATGCTGCTGGTCTGTGGATCACACTTTTTTTTCTACGATTATTTGCTTTAGGAGGCACCTGGGTAGCTCAGTTGGTTAAGCATCTGTCTTGGCTCAGGTCATGATCCTGGGGTCCTGGGATCAAACCCGGCTTGGGGGGTGGGGTTCCCTGCTCAGCGGGGAGTCTGCTTCTCCATTTCCCTTTCCTTCTTTCCTCTGCTTGTGCTCAAAAAAAAAAAAATACATGTCTTTAATTAATTTATTTATTTACTTAAAAGATTTTATTTATTTGACAGAGACACAGTGAGAAAGGGAATACAAGCAGGGGGAGTGGAAGAGGGAGAAGCAGGCTTCCCGCTGAGCAGGCAGCCCAATGCGGGGCTCAATCCCAGGACCCTGGGATTGAGACCTAAGCTGAAGCAGATGCTCAATGACTGAGCCACCCAGGTTCCCCTAAATAAATGTTTTTTAAAAGATTATTTGAGGGGCGCCTGGGTGGCTCAGTGGCTTAAAGCCTCTGCCTTCGGCTCGGGTCATGATCTCAGGGTCCTGGGATCGAGCCCCACATAGGGTGCTCCGCTCAGCAGGGAGCCTGCTTCCCTTCCTCTCTCTCTGCCTGCCTCTCTACCTACTTGTGATCTGTCAAATGAATAAATAAAAACTTAAAAAAAAATTGAGAGAGTGAGGGAGAGCAGGGGGAAGGGTCAGAGAGAGAGATTCCAGGCTCTCTGTGCTAAGCATGAAGTCCAATGAAGGGCTTGATCTCACGACCCTGAGACCACCACCTGAGCTGAAGCCAAGAGTTGGTTGTTTAACTGACTGAGCCACCCAGGCGCCCCTGTGGACCACACTTTGAGCAGCGCTGCTCAGGATAAATATACATGGGCTATCCCTCACCTAGCCTTCTGATCACTGTCCCCTCCCAGCCCATAGGGCACCAGAAAGAGTAAGGGCATCCTGAAAAAACGGAAGAGCGGCCATGAAGGCAGTGATAGGGTAGCAAGGGCACTCAGAAATCTTGATGCCAAATAGGGGTCCTGTGGGGATGTGGGGAGACAGAACCTGCTGGAGGCTTCTGGGCAGTTGGCAGCCTTTCTCCCACACCTGGCTCAGGTCCATCTGCGTGTGCACAGTGGGGAGCGCCCTTTCCAATGTGGCCTGTGCCAGAAGAGCTTCACCCAGCTCGCCCACCTGCAGAAGCACCACTTGGTGCATACGGGGGAGCGGCCCCATGAATGCCTGGTGAGACCCTCCTTCCCCTTCCCTGTACTCCTGCAGGCTGGTGAGTAGTTCCAGGCTCTTGGACGGGTGGGCCCTGTAGCCTGCTCTCCCCAGTGCTCCTGAGCAAGTGGAGACAGGAGTGGAGGCAAGGGTGGAGGCAGTGAGGGAGGCTGAGGGAGGTGACAATGACCCCTGTCAGCCTGGAAGGGCCAGAATGTGAACCTGGAGGTCCCTCCCTAGGCCTGGAGCGAGGACTAGAAATGTGTGTCTAAGGGAGGAGGATAATAAAGCTGGGAGGTCCCAGGGAGTGGATACCGGTAACCTACTTCCCAGGGTTGCTGGAGAGGTAGAAGGCCTGGTGCATGCGAAGTATGCAAACACTACAGATAACAGCAGCTGGGTGTTAGCTCTTGCTCCCTCTGAGTCCTGATACATCCCTTGGGAGGTCAGAACAGCAGGAATTCTTTCCCCAGGCAAGAAAGAAGCATCGTGGTTCTAAGTGTGGGCTACTTGGGTACAGATCCCAGCTCTCCCTCCAGCTTGTGTGACCTTTGGCGAGTGGCTCTCCTCCTCTGAGCCGCTGCTTTCTCACTGTATTAGAAGAGTTACACGAGGACTGAGTCATGCTTCTCCAGGGTCCCGGGGAAGACTCTGTGAGACCAATTCCTGGCATGTGGCAGCTCCCAGTAAATGTTAATAACGCCCACGAAGGCTGTAGGCCCATGCTTAAGGGTCCTGTGTGATGATCTCATTCGGTCCATCATACCTATGAGGTTAGGTATTAATAGTCACCAATTAATAGTTACCAATAAGGAGAACAAGGCTCAGACAGGAGATGTCACCTATGCGAGGTCACACAGGGAGTAAGAATCATGATACTAACCCAGGTCTGCCTGGCTCCAATGTGCCAGACACTGTGTGTCCCAGGAGAAATCATGGGGCGGGGGGCATCTGGGCAGGCACAGGGAGGTGGTGGTGGTGGTGGTGGTGTGGGGGAGGGGTATCCAGGGTGGGGAGTGGGAGCAGAGATCTGGAGCCAGCCACATGGGCAGAGCTGACACCTGTGCCCATTCTCAGCAGATGTGCCACAAACGCTTCAGCAACTCTAGCAACCTCAAGACCCACCTGCGCCTGCACTCTGGGGCCCGGCCCTTCCGGTGCAGTGTCTGTCCCCGGCGCTTCACCCAGCACGTTCACCTGAAGCTGCACCACCGCCTGCACGTGCCACAGCCTCACCGCCTAGCTCACGCCCACCTGTCCCTGGCGTCTCTTGCCTGCCTTGCCCGATGGCACTAGGAAGCCCTAGATCTCGTGGCACTGCCATCAGAGAGGCAGACGGGCTGGGATCTGGAAAAGGTCAAGGCGTCCTTGGCATCTGGGGGAAAGTGCGGGCAGCCAGCCTGAGCCCTGGTGCCAGGACTGCCCTGGGGAGGGGGCAGGAGCAGAACAATTAAAAGATTTTCTTTGCGACAAGTTGAGGCCTCTGGGACTTCATCTAGGGGGAAGCCACTGTGTATCTGTCAGATTCCACACCTCACCTGGAAGCAGGTCAGGGAACGCACCCAGAGAGAGCGGGTGATGCCCACTTGGGGTGGGCGCTGGCAGCCATCCACATCCGGCTGGATTTGGGTCCTGCTCCCTGACCTGGTCCTGGCCCTCCCATCTCAGCTTGCCAGAGGGTGGTCCAGCCTTTTGGGACTCAGCATGGTACAGAGTGTGCTGCCAAACACTGGGCACATTGCTCTCTTTCCTGAACAAGGGTTCGAGCACCTGCCCAGATGTACATCTGCTGCTTCCCATTACTTTCCTCTCAGTTCCTAGGAAGCCGGTGTGCCTGCTTCGCTGGTACTCCCTGCCATGGTCCGGTGGGGTGTGCTTCTCCCTCTGTACATGCCAGGATCTAAGCCCCCAATCACCGTGGGGGTGGCGGAGCAGGAACACAAGGAGGTCAGCGTCCATTCATAACCGTTCCAGCAAGGGGCTCCGCTCGCGCCCCCGTGGGTATGAGACCTGCTTCCCCGCAGGGGACTGAGCGATCTTCACGCTCAGTCTTACGCCCTCCAGGTGCACGCACGAGAACGTTCAGGAGCCCACGGCGTCCAGGCAACTACAGCGACAGGGTCGGCTTCGGCCTCCTCCGCCCAGTAATTGAGGTCACTGTGTAAAACCCACCCGGTCACCCCTTTGGCCCTGTGCCATAGGCCAACCGCTAGGGCAAGGCCCCACCCACTCGACAAGACCATGCCCCCTCTGGTCTTGGCCCCTGCGTTATAGCCCCTCCTCCTCGGGGGAGAGAGACCCCTGGTTCAGCACCGCCTCGCTAGCCCGAGGTTCCTCCTTCCCGCCCACTTCGTGCAAGGCCACCGTGGGGGCTGCCGGCACGCGGTGTGCACCTGGAGCCTCCCGAGGCCTAAAGAAGTAGCTCAGTCCATGCGGAGAGCACGGCAAGAGCGGGGAGGAGAAGTGGGACTCAGGCGGTGCGACCCCTGCAGAACGCACCCGGTGTCCTGGGGCAAGAGCCGCCTCGGGGTCAGTCCCCCGCCCAAACAGACTGCGGGCGGGGCCGCTGTTTGTTCAAGGGGGCGGGCCGGAGAAGGCGTTTCTCTGCGGAGGAGCGGAGAAGAGCGGATCCGGGTGGCCCCCGTGGCCCCGGAGGGCTGTAGTGCACGGGAGCCCGGGGCCTTGCCCTTGCCATGGCCGAGCCGCACGCGGGGCTGGGGGCGCTTTTGGCCCGCGGCTTGGCCAGGCTGGGGCTGCGGAGGGAGCGCCGGGGGAAGCGGACTCCGGAGGAGGCCAGAGCCCGGGATAGGTGAGGGGGGTGGAGGAGGTCTGCAGGGGCACCCCTGGGCTCTAGGGGTGTGTGCGTGCGTGTGTGTGTGTTAGAGGGTAGTGAGTGTTCAAATAAGCGTGTACGAGTGTCTGAGAGCATAAAAATACACGTGACAGTGTACTACGATTTTGGATATATGACTGTGAATATGGTTTTTAGAAACAACCTGCGCTTTTTTGAAACTTTAACTTTTGCAATTCCTGAAGTCAGGCGGCGGCAGGGGGGATGACTTCCTCTCCGGAGACAGTTTAAAGGCCAACGTAGGCGCCCCCCCCCCCTGCCGCTGTGGACTTTGTCACATCCCAGGCCAGCTTCCCTCTCGTCTTCATTCCCTTTGTGATGAGCGTGACAGACCCCTGAGGTGTCGCAGACCGCGCTGCGTTGCCCTCAGATGGGACGATTTCCCCTGTCGCCCCAGACTGTAGTAACAATAAACCTTTATTTGCCACTTGCTTCATGCGTTACCTGGATTATCTCATTTAATCCTCACAGCAGCACTATGAGGCAAGTGTAGTTCGTGTGATTCAGATGTGGAAATGGAGGTTCGGAGAGGTGAAGTCACCTGTGGAGTCACACAGCTGGGAGGAGGTGGGGCTAGGTTATGAGCTTAAGCAGTATGACTCCAGAGCCCATATCCTGAAGCACTGGGCTGCTCTTTTGCCCGGAGAAATTCCAGGACTGCAAACCCGTGGTGGGGGGCTGGGCAGAGCTCCGTCCTAACCCCAGCTGCGGCTGGCCTGGTCCCCTTGAACATACTGCTTCCTCTCTCTGAGCCCATTTGCTGGTAACCACCGTCGGAGTGGAAGGAAAAAGGCTCCATTCAGCGTGGCAAAGCTGAATGGCCGGGAGGGGTACAGTGAAGAGGACCCCAGTGGCTCACAGGAAAAAGAGCATGGAATGTGCTCGCAGGCACTGGGGTGTTGTGTCTCTAGGTAGTTACCGGGCAATTTGTTCTGATCTTATCATGGCACGGCTGTCTTTAGCAGCTGTGGGAGGGGTGGGGTACCTGAGCACCAGGCGCAGAGGGAGAGGAGGGGTTTGTGCTGTTTTCTCACCCCAAAGAGAAAGGGGGAGGGGAGGGCCTAGCCACCCTGGAAAGCCTGGAAGCCTGGGTGCCCCAGGGGGTACCCACACCCTACCACTGCCCTGCCCACCCCAGCAGGGAGACACGCCCTCTCCCATTACCTGGTCTGGCAAGAACTTGCCCTATAGGGCCCAGGTGGCATGGCCCCTCCCTTTCCGCACTTGAGAGGAGGCAGGGTTGGCCAGCTGGTGAGTCAGGGATTGGCAGGACAGGGGAGGGACTGCGCATGCTCAGGGGCCAGCCTGATGATACAGCCCATGCGTGTGCCTCTGGACGCGTTCTCACCAGATGTGGGAATGGGACTCCAGCACTAAGGAACAGCCTCTCTGATCCCTGCTGATTGCCCGGGATTGGGGACGGGGTGCACGAGGGAGACGGTCAAGGCACTTCCCCATCTTGCCCCCATGATGTCCAACCAGCGTTTGGAATGGGATGGTCCTAGTGTCCTAACTCCAAGGCTCACCAGCTGTGTGACTCCAAGCAAATCACTTCATCTTTCTGGGCCTCAGTTTCCTTATCTGAAAAATAGGGGCATAATATCCACCTTCTAGGATTATTTTGAGGCTCAAAGGAGATCACGTGAGCACCATATCTAAGGCTAAGCCTGGCCCCCAGAAGGCCTCATCGCATGGCAAGCTTTTGAACTATGGAGTCGCTGTCCTTTTTCTATATTCTGATTCTACTATAGACCTAGTCCCCACTCTTGTCCCAAGCTCATCTGTCTGTCCTCTCATTTGGGGAGTAGACATGTGGGGGAGGGAGCAGAGGGGAGGCTGCTGTGTAGACCTTGCCCCACTCCTAAGGTTTCAGAAGTTCAGCCTGCCTATGTGCCCTGAGAAAAGTAGGGGAGGGCCCCAGAGTCCAGTCTGAGCGTGGGAGGGGAGAAGGCTACTTCACTCCCTTTCCTGTGCTTCCTAGGCCCTGGGGTGGCCGGAGCTGCCCTGACCTGGCCCAGGACCTGGGCAGCACCAGCAATGTCAGCCTCAAGGTAACAGAGAATCCCAAGAGGTGGGAAGGGAGTGGGGTCAGAAGCTCTGGGAGGGGCCGGGCTGGCCCTGAGAACCCTGACTTACAAGTCAGGCACCTGGTGTTCTCTAATCCTCTGCCACTGATTCACTGTGTGACCCTGCACAGATCACTCCCCGCATCAGTTTCTCTATCTGCAAAATGGGGACAATAATGCCGCTCAGAGTTGTGAGAAAGAATGTGAGAAAGAAAGTCATAGATGTAGAACATCCAGCAAGGGGCCTAGATGTTCTGGAAGCCTGAGCTTCCTAATGCTCAGGCCCTTGGGGAAGCCTGGAGGGCCAGTACCTGTACCCAGGAGCCCCCTTTCTACACTCCCTCCTTTAGCTTGACCTTGTCTCCTCTCTTGCCTCATTTCCCCAATTCCTGGCATGCAACCCCAGGGTGAAGCTGGAGTGGTGGTTTAACCTTCTGGGCACAGTTCCCCATCTTCAGTGGATCTGAGGCATGGCTTGAGCAGTGACAGGGTGTCCTCTCTTTGGAGGAGCAGAAGGCCTCTTCGAGGTGGCTCAGCAGCTGTGTGTCTGTGGTCTAGAATACCATTCGTAATCACGCACATTTAATTGAGTACTCATTAGGTGCTGGTTACTCTGCATGGCTTATCTCATTCAGTCTTCACAGCACTCCCAGGAAGCAGGTACTGTTATTATCATACCCATTTTACACACAGGGACTCTGAGATTGTGGCTAGGAAGTAGCTGATCTGTGATTTGAGCCTGGATTGCCTGGCTCCAGGCTCCCACATTAAGTCACGGTGCCCTCCTGTCTCTTGACGTATTTAGCCCCTGGGGAGCAAGAGGCTGTACCTATTTCTCAAATGAGTAAATTGAGGTATTTGGGATCAAGGGCCCCTGCAGAGAGGACTTTTGGCCCCAGATTTGGCTCCTCTGTTGCCAAGTACACAAGCCTGCTCCTGAGAATTCGTGGTTTGGGGAGCAGCGTCCGTATGGGCCCGGGATCGTTGGCCCTCTCCCCACCCTCCCACGGCCAGGCTGGGCCCCAGGGGAAGATAGTAGATGGAAGTTACTCACTTTTGGGGGAACCCTCTTCCCTGACTCCCTCATGGCCCAGGTACATCTTTATGCCCAGGTGCCTCCTCCCGGGTGTGCTTGGCAATCTCAGGCTGTGAGGGTCCCAGGGACGGGGGAGGCAGCTATAAGCTCTCTGGAAGTTTGCAGGGGGCCGAGGCCCTAGACACTCATACTGGGCACATCCACGCAGCCTCTGATCCCCAAAGAAGCTGCTGCTAAAGGGCTAGAGGCCTGTGGATGCTTGGGAAAGTGGCAGTTGGCCCGAGAGTAGGGCCGTCACTGAGTGATTTTGGTCAAGTCATTGTCCTCTCTGGGCCTCACTTCCCTCATATGCAGAATGGGAGGGTGTGAGTGAAATACTGAGCGGCTTCCCAGAGCTCTGCCCTTTTGTCCAGTTCTCGTGCCAAGGAGGACCGTCCAGGGTGTTGAGGGGTGCTGGGAGGGTAAGGAGAAGTGCTGTCACCAGTCGCCTGCCTCTGCTTTCCCTAGGCCCAATCCCACAGAAGCTCAGAATGGGACCTTCGGACAGGGAGCCGTGGTTCCTGGCTTTGGGGGAGACGACACAGCTCAGGGGAGCCCCATCAACCCCTGGGGCGCCTGCAGAGGCCAGCCGTGGGCAGTGCCTCTGACCTGGCCAACTATACCTCCGTGGGACTGGAGAGCCCCTCATGCCCGGTGCCAGCTCCCGGATGTGTGGAGCAAGGGACCCCAGGCTGCACTTGTCTGCAACCTCTGTGCCCTGCCCCAGGGGTTCCTGTGAGGCCCAAGCCACCCGGCAACCTGGGAAACCTGCTGCCCCGCCCAGCACCCTTCCCCACAGGAGAGGGGGCAAAGGGCGAGCCTGTCACACTGGGGCCAGTCCTGCCTGATCCAGCCCAGACCCTACACAAGTGTCCCTCTGCCAGGAGGACCCGCTACCACATCGCTATCACCCTCCAGGGCCACAGGCGGGCACCTGGGGAGGAGGGTGGAGAGCCTAAACCTGCCCAACCAGCTCTCCACCCCTGCGGCCCTGAGGAATCCAGGGGCTGGCAGGAGCCTCCCCAGGGGCCCCGCCCCATCACGGGGTGCCTGACAGACCAGCCCCAGGAGCCCCGGCTGCGAGCCCCACCGCATCAGGAGGTCACAGCCCAGCAGCAGGAGCGCCAGGCCCGCTGGACGCCCGGCTCCCCACACAGACGGTGAGTAGACGTCAGGCCCCACATGGGGCGACGACGGGAGGGGAAACTGGCCTGGCTGCCCACTCTTGGGTCTCTGCCTGGTGTCTGGGCTTTTCCAAACCAAGGCCCATTCATTTGGCTCCCCAAGCACGAGCTAACTCTGCCATCTTCTGCCCACTCAGCTCTGCCCTCCTCTCCCTCCCCTCACCCACAGGCTACATCGGGGGAGCTGTTGCCGCTCTTCCCTGTCTGCCGGAGGAGAGGGAGAGCTTGTCATGGAGGGGTTGGGGAGAGTGACCTTCTCCTTAGTGATACCCTCCACAGACCCAATCTAGGAATAGGTGCCCAGCCAAAGTGCTGGGTGTCCTGGGACCAGCAGCTTAACTTCTCTGGGCCTTGAGTTGTTGAGTAGATTTGGTAGCTGGAGGTGAGGATGGAGGAGGTGGTCACAGGACGTGCTTTGAACTCCAGGGAGCTGGGCCGCCCGCCCAAATAGCAGGGATGCTTGTCATTAATGCTGCAGTTGATAATGACCCCACCTGGCTCTGGGGTGGTGACCTCGGGAACAGGCACGAGGTTCCCAATCCTCGGTGTTTATTTGCATTGAAATGACTCCCCTGGATCTGCCTCATAGGCCCAAAGGGGGAAGGATGGGTCCCCTGAAACTCACTGAGGAGGGATGACGTCTCTAGGGTCACCAGGAAGGGGCACTGGGGCTCAAATAGGGCTCTGAAAAGTTCCTAATGATGATGGTGGTGGCTGTTACTTATGGCTTGTTTTATTTATTTATTTTTTTTTTTTTTTAAAGATTGTATTTATTTGTTTGGCAGAGAGAGAGGCGGGCACAAGCAGGGGGAGTGGCAGGCAGAGGGAGAAGGAGAAGCAGGCTCCCTGCTGGCTAGGGACCCACCCCCGCCGACCCATGCAATACAGGACTCGATCCCAGGACCCCGGGATCATGATGTGAGCCAAAAGCAGACACTGAATTGACCGAGACACCCGGATGCCCCATGGCTTGTTTTCTAAGCATAATTCTTATTTTTAAAATTTTACTGTTTTAAAAGATTTATTTTAGAGAGAGAGAGAGAGAGCATTCTAGCACAGGAGGGAGGGGGAGAGGGTGAAGGAGAGAGAGACTCTCAAGCAGACTTCCTACTGGGCGCAGAGCTTGAGCCCATGACCCTGATATCATGACCTGAGTCAAAACCAAGAGTCAGACACTTAACCGACTATACCACCCAGGTGCCCCGTAAGCATAATTCTTTTAAATCCTCAGAAAGCCCCATGAAGCAGGACTAATCTTATTGACTGCCCTCACTGCAATAGGGAAACTAAGGCTCAGGTAAATCACATCACTTGCCCAAAGTCAAGTAGAAAGTGAAGGGGTCGGAATTTGAACCTGGGTACCTGTGCTTTAACCACTGCTTCCTCCTGCCTCTCCCAGAGGACTTGCTGGCCCTGTGCCGTCCATGCAGGGTTGACTGGTTGCTGTACAGGGTTTTCAGTGACCCCATGGAAGTGGGTTTGGCAGCATCAGAAGCGCCCAGGCCCCTGAGCAGGAGTCAGGGTACCTTGTCCTGTGGTAAGGGAAGGGGAGAGGTGGGACCCTGGGTGGCCCAGAGCCCTGCTCAGGCGTCCCAGCTGGGAGAGAAGGGCTTCGGAGAGAGGGAAGGTTCGTGGAGGAGGCAAGCCTTGGAGAGGAGAAGGAAGAAGCAACAGGTTTAGCTGAGGGGACTAGGGCTCTCCCTGCCACTCCCTGGTTATTTTGGGACGAGGTAGCTAATGACAGACTCTGGTTGGAGGCTAGGGGCTCACTTAGAGAAGCAGGAAGCCGACCTCTGGGGATACCAGACCTCTGTGACCCCTTTCTGGGGGAAGCATTCCCTGGGTCAGGACTGGCAGATGTTGGGGTGAGGGCAGGGAGGTGGGACACAGTCGGGACTGCATGCGGGGCTGTGTAAGACGTATATGCATTCATGTGTGGCTGTGTTGAGTGCAGGCAGATTTCCCGAGCAGGGAGGAGGGCTGTGAGTTGACTGTGTGTATTGTGAACGTGGGCACATGTCACTATGTCTTGTGTGTTTCTGTGTGTGTGTGTCTGATGCATGTGTCCACTGTGTCTCTGAGTGTATGTAATGCTGTGTGTCTGACCGTGTCTGTCTGTGTAAGTGTGTAGGTCTGGTTTTGTGCCCGTGTGACCTGGTGGGTCTGTGCTGGTGTCTGTCTGGGTGTCGGTGTGTGTCTGTGTGACGCAGCATGCGTTTGTGGGCCTGTGGACTGGTTTGGCCTAGTTTGGGGGTGACTCACAGGTAAGCGGGGAGAACCCAGGACTTGTTCGGTTAGACCAGGCTCTTTCCCACACTCCCCCCGCCCCCTCCTCAGCCTCTCCCTTTCCGGGCCCCACACACCTTGTTTGGAGGTCACAGTCAGCCTGCCAACAGATCCTTTTCTGGTCTGGGGCCCTGAAGAAGAGAGGGCTCTGGGGCTGAGGGCTTCTGCTAGCCTCGGAGGTATCCTGGGCCATGGGGGTGTGTTGTGTCTTCAGAGCAAGGATGAAAGTGGGCAGCTATGGGCAGGCAGATTCCAGTACAGTTGGAAGAACACTCTAGCAGTCATGACTGTCCAGGGATAGGACAGGTCAGCTGTCAGATGGTGACCTCTGTATCCCTAGAAGTGTGCAAGCAGAAGCCAATGACCACATGTTTATGGAATGAGTGACTGTCTCGGGTGTTGTTCAGGGGCTGGGCTGGCTTGAGAAAGGCGTGGAATTTTGATTGCTAGGAGGTCATTTACAGTATCTGATCTGATGACCAATGGCTTCCTTTGAAGCTGTTCTCTTGTTGCTTTGCCAAAACTGATGTGGTTCTTGTTTTTACGTCCGGTTCTTTGGACCGCAGACTCCTAGAACACCGCCTTTGGGTGAACCAAACCAGGGCCCAGCACATCACCTACCACAATTAGCCCTGAATGAATGAATGAATGAATGAATCAATCAATCAATCGATGACTTAGAACCCAGGCTTGGCTACTTAATAGCCTCAGGGGCAGGGAATCTTAGGGAAATCCTAGTTATTATTGCAGAAGTAAAGAGGAAACTCAGTGGGGGGCTCAGTGAGAAGTGGGAGTCCCAACAAGAAGGCCATGGTTCTGTTGGAAGAAAAGGAGCTCCTTAGTGAGGATGGGAGGGGGTCGTGGCCTCAGGCAAAGGGCCCTGATCTAAGGCCTCAGGTGTTTGGCTGTGCCCTGCTCTCAGGAATTCTGGTCTGGGGAAAGGTCTGGGATTCATGTCAGCTCCCTCCTTCCCCAATATGCCACTCAGACCCTATCATAGCTCCCAAGGTTCCTGGAGTCAAGTCAGGCTTCCCTGGGCCTCAGCCCCTTTCATCTCTGTTCCTCATAAAACCTGAGTCATTGCTAGGGCCACAGAGCAGGATCAAAGTTCTGGGTTCCACTGGCTTCTCAGGAGAGAAGAAGATAGAGATGCGGGAAGGAAGTTGGGGGCAAGGGTGCATTTCTGGTCTTAGCTTCCATTATAATGGCCTGGGGGCTGCCTCTTGGGTCCTTGGGATCTGAGAATAGGATTGTCCTGGTCAGCACAGCCTGGAAGTGGGAGTGAGGGCTGGGTCGTCCCTCCAGGACTACTGTGGCCCCCTTTAAAAGTAAATCTCTAAACCACAGAGCTTGGTTCACCAGATACTTACATTAGGGAGTTTAGTATGGTCGTCAAGTGCTTAGAGTTGGGGTTCAAGTCTTGCCTTTGCCACTGTGTGATTCTGGGTAAGTTTCTTAACCTCTCTGAGCCTTCTTTGTCCTCATCTGCAAAATGGGAATGTTTGTTTATAATTGATTCTTTGAGGTATCAAATGCATGGGATTCTTTTGAAGATTGAGAAGGACAATGAATATTAAGCAGTTAGCAAGGTGCCTGGCCTGTGAAGCTTGACGGGGAGAAGTGGCTGGCCCAAGGTCATCCGATAGTAAATGATAGGGTCAGGGGAAACTTAGCTTTGCCGGAGGCCGTAGCCCATCTTTCTTTTTCTCCCTTTATCATGGCCAGGAACAGGGTCAGAACAGTTGCCTGGTTTTCTAGTTTTTGGCTTCTGGAGGACTAGACCCAGGGCTCCTTGGGCAGAGTCACAACCCCACCCATATGCTTTTTTGCTCTCTCCCTTCTCTCTCCTTCCAGGCTCAGGCCTCAGCTTCACCCCTTGAAGGACCCTGGCATTGGGGATCATCTGAAAGTGGGGAGATGGTGGGAAAGCTGGGAGTATCACGCCCATTTTACAGATGAAGAAACAAAGGTCCAAAAAGTCCAATGGGTTGCCTGGGGTGACCAAGCCCGAGCTTGGCAGGGGTCGTTACTCTGTACTGCCAAGAGCCACCTTCATCACCCCCTGACCCTGTCTCTCTTCTTCCCGGCACCATCTGCAGGGAGCTGGAGCACAGTGAGCCAAGGACACCTCAAAACAGGTCGCTGGGGCCCAACATGGAGGAGGCAGGTGGGCCCCTGGCTCAGGCTGAGACTCCTGTGGTGAGCACCACGCTGACATGGCGGCGGCCGCCCCCTGCCCACGAAGAAATGAGACATCGTTTTCACAAGGTGTCCCTAGTGTCGGGGGCACAGAAAGAAGCCCCCCGGGAGGAGGTGTTTGAGCACAGCCACTGTCAAGAGGAAGTCAATGGCTTTGTTACACGGGAAGAAACGACTATAAATTACCAGGGACCCCGGGATGGGGCCGGCTCCAAGAGCTGTCAGAGTCACGGGCCCATCTTTTCCAAGAAGTACACACTAGTCCCCAAGGAGAAAAGGCGAGTGGGAAGGCTGAAGGAGGCTATAGACCAGGGTGATGGCAGCCCCCCCGAGCCTGGGACTGAGCCAACACACCTGGGAGCCATGGCCAGGAATGAGATTTTGGTGCCCCTGCCAGGGCCCCGTGAGCCAAGCCCCCACCCAGGTGTAAGTCTCATCAGTGGGAGCCCCCGGAGCCTCGAAGAACGTCGGGTGACACGCACCGTGCAGACCACTGTGGTCGTGGGAGGGCACACGGAGCGACAGGTGAACAGCTCTGTGACCGTGGGGCCGGTGCTATCGGGCGAGGCCCCGCCGAGGGGCCGCAAAGTTGTTCGCACCGTGCGGGCAGTGGTGGTGAGCCCTGAGGCCGAGGGCTCACCCAGCCTCAGCCAAGCCCGGGAGCTGCTAAGTAGCCTTGTGCCTGCTGAGCGTAGCCCCCCTGCCAGCCGGCTTCCCAGGCCCGCGGCTGTTGTGCCAAGGCGTCCGGGTCTGGGCAGTGCAGGGGGCGCAGGCTTAGGGCAGCTGCCTGAGACAGGGACGGCAGAGCCAAAGAACAAAGCTGCTCTGGTCCCTGTGGGCATCCCAGAGGATGTCCACCCACCTTGGAACCAGGATGTCCCTGCAGCTTGCCCAGACCAAGACCAGAGCAGAGCCCCTGATGCCAGAGCCCACGAGGTCCCAAGGGATCAGGGAGCCTCCAGTCTCCCCCAGCCTCCTCTCCAGATTTCCGAGGGCCAGGCACTGTCACCTTCCTCTCCCAGACGCCAGACCCCTACCCCCACCCTGGACCCAGTCTGCCCCTCAGAGCAGCTTGTGGTGCCCACTCACCCCAGGACCCAGCTCACTGTCAAGCCCAGGGGACCCCAGGCACTACACTCTGTGAAAAGGGAAGGGCTCACGGATCCCTCTGCTGCCCCCATCCTGCCCAAGGTGAAGAGCGAGGTGGCTGTTACAGTCCCTGGACAGCCTCTTGCTCCATCCTCTACAAGAAGGAAGGCTGTCCCCAGCTCAGGAGGGCTTTCTGCTCCCTCCTCCCCACCGAATACGTTTGTTGAAGACTCTAAAAATGTCCCCAACTTCTCCCTTACCCAGGAAGAGGTAGCGCAGGGCTCTGGAGTCCATGCCGACCCATCCCTTACCCAGAAAGAGGTTGTGCAGGGTCCTGGTGTTCCTGCTGCCTCATCCCCCAAGCCCGCCCAGGTTGTCCAGGCCTCAGAAGGCAGCCCTAGCACCCAAAAAGAGGCTATCCACGGTACTAAAGGCAGTCTTACTTCTTCTCTCAGCAAGGACGAGGCTGTTCGAGGCCTGACTGCTTCCTCTATCCCATCCCCCAAAAAGGATGAGGTTGTTGAGGGCTCCGAAGTGAGTCTCATCTCATCTCCCACCCAGAAAGAGGTTGTCCAGGATCCCATTGCTTCTGCTACCCCATTTTCCACCCAGAAGGTGATTGTCCAGGATGCTGTTGTTCTCCCTGCCCCCTCCTCAGGGGGCGAGGTGTCCCCCAGCCCCGGAGCCCCTCCTGCCCTGGCGCTGATGGTAGCAGAGGCCAGCCCGGAGTCCCGGCTTGTCCCTGACTCTACTGAGGGTGAGATGGTCCCAGAGACATCCCTGGAGGAGGAGGTGGCCCTGGCTGCCGACCTAGAGATTTTCCTGGATACACTGCGGAGCATGGAGCCCCCTGAGATCCTCCGCACTCATCGGCTGCCACGAGCCCCCCGCTCCTCCTACCTGGCCATGTACGCTACGCTGCCCGCCATCGAGGAGGACCAGCCTGGACCATGGGTGCTGGGACCCAGCCCCCAGGAGGCTCCCACACTAGAAGGGAAAGAGGAGGAGGAGGAAGAGGAGGAGGAAGAACCAGAGAATCCCTACCTGAGCGACGACGAGAAGCTCCAGCGCAGGCAGGAGAAAGCTGGGCCCAGCCCCTCCTGGGACTCTCGCCCTGCGAGGCCCCCCCAGGTCTCTCGTTCTCCTCTGGAGATGATGAAGAAACATGTGGCAGATGCCAAGGGCGCCCCCTCAGTGCTGGGGCCAGACTGGCAAGCAGGGAGCAGGCTCACTTCCCGTCTCGGAGGCAGCCTTCTCTTCAGTGGGCTGGTGGCTGCCCCCCAGGAGGGTCCGGCCTCAGAACCACTGGGTACAAAACTATCCGCCCTGCCGCCCCATGGGATGCCAGGACTCAGGAAAGTGCCAGGACAGCTGCCCCTGCTCTGCAGCGAAAGGCCACCGTTGGAGAAGCCTGCTTGTGCCCGGCTTCCTGAGGGTTGGGTGAGTGAGGCCTTGGATGAGCAAGGTGGTGGGGGCGGGGGACACCTGGCCTTGCCTGGGGCAGGTTTGAATGGTATCAGGACCGGGACACTGGAAAGAGAGTCTCGAGAAGCCAGAGCCTTGAGTCTGATGTCTAGTTTAGTGTGATCTTATACAAGCCACATCCTTCTGGGCCTCAGTTTCCCTATTCACACAACAGAAGGCTTGCACTGTGGAGCTCAAAGGGCTTGGTGGCTCTGATCTCTTGGAAGCTGGAGGAAAGGAGTGATAGGCACCCACACCCCTGGGGTGGGGTGATGAGCTCCCTGGAGTTGGTGACATCCTCTGTGGGCCAGTGGAGTGGAGGCCAGTAGGAAACATGTGGGATCCTTGGAATGACAGATTATGGGGAGGCAGTAAGGAGGCCACATCACAAGACTTTTTATCACCTCCCTCCATGCCAGAGCCCAGCATTAAAGACCCAGGGCAAGTTGAACATCAGGCCTGGAAAGGTAAGGGGGGGAACGCCATGTGGGGGTGGGTGGGGGGAAGGCTGTGGGGGCAGCAGGAGGCCGGGATCTGGGGATGGGGCCTGAAGAGTCCCTCTGTGTCCTCTCCAGATGATCCTCTTCTCAGAGCCTGGCTGCCAAGGCAGCCGCAAGGAGGTCTGGGAAGACATCGCCGACACTTCCGGGTGGGCCCACGTGGCCTCCATAAGTGTAGTTCGAGGATGGTGAGTGCGGACTGCCAGGGCGAGGCATGGGGCTGCTTGTGGACCTGGGGGATGCCAGGGCGGTGAGATGTGCCTAGGCCAATCTGGCTGAAACCCCTTCAGCCACCCTGCTTTGTGGCTACATCCTCTCCCTGCCGGTGACCCTGGGTCTCTGTGCCCACAGCTGGGTGCTCTACGAAGAGCCCGAGTTCCAGGGCCGGAAGCGAGTCGTGGCTGAAGGAATGGTGGATTTGGGAGCTCCGGAGTCCGTGTGGAGCACCCAAGGCATCGGTTCCCTGAGGCGGGTTGTCCGGGTGAGTGGCTGGGAGTGGACACCAGATGCTGCCCCGTCTTCCCCAGGCCCCAGCCCTTGAGGTCGGGGACAGCCTCAGGTGCCTGGAGTTGGAATGGCCGGGAGAGCTCACATGGTTGAGCCTGAAGGGAGCTCACTACGGACTCACCTGTAGAGTCCTGACCTCAGAGCTCCACCTGGGGAAGAAAGGAGTTCTGGGGTGCTCGACCTGCCTTGGGGAGGCAGGGGGCAGACAGAGGCCAAGCCCCAGCTTGGGAGAGCAGCCTGGGGAAATTGGAGCTGGCTTGAAGGGTCTGGTGAGAGCAACAGAAACGGATGGGAGTGGCTGCAGGTGCCCGCCCACCTGCCCTGGGCCCGGGATCTCAGGCCCAAGGTCAGACCCAGGGTGCCACAGATGTTTGTTCATTTGCTCACAGATGCTGGTTTATGTCTGCTGTGTACCAGGCACTGTGCCAGGCAGCGGGTGGGCGGGGGAGACCTGTTCTCTGCCCTGCCAGACTCATGGTCAAGCTAGGGTATGAGGGTGGGACCTGAGGCAGGAAAGCCATATAATCAGATTAGGGATTTATAAACATCCCTCTGGCTGTGGGGAGGAGAAATCTGGGACTCAGGAAGACCAGGCAGGGCTGTGATTTCCAGGTGAGGGCACCTCAATTTGGAGGGAGAAATGTGTGGTTTGAACAGGCCCAGTCAATATTATAGTTCCATATCTGTAAAGTGGGGGAAAATACAATTCAGTTTTTGTAACACAAATGTACAGACTACCGAAATTAAGCTTCACAAAACTGTCTTGGCCAGTAGGGAGACACAGAAGAGAAAGCCCAACCCTAAAAGCAGGGCCTATCACACTTTTTTTTTTTTTTTTTTTAATTAAAGCATGAGCACCTCCAAGACAGAGCTGTTGCAATCCTCCCAGTAAGAGGGCGAGAGCGGACGAGTCTTAACCAGGGCAGTGGCCCAGCTATGCAAAGGAGGGGATGGTTTTGAAAGCCTCTCCAGAAACACACAAATGTTTGTGGATGATTTATTGTGAGCTTCTCACAATAAACGCATCTTCATGTAGGAGGTAACGAGGTAGAAGAGAAAAAAAACGAGAGCTTTGAAGTCGGGTGGACCTGGTTTCATTTCATTCATTCAGCGTGGACTGGGCTCGTCATGTGTGCCAGGCACGTGGGAGGGGTTGGTTGCAACAGTGAACACACACTCCATGGGTCTCTTCTTTGCTCTGCTACGTCCGGGCTGCGTGCCCTCAGGCAGGCCGCCCAACTGCACGGATCCTCACTTTCCTAGCCTGTGAGTGAAGTAAGAGCGCCCGCTGGGAGGGCTGGCTGAGGTGGAGTAGGACATGCCCTTTCCATGGTGCCTTGCCCTCAGCAGATGCTTCATAAGCGTTTGCTGAGGGATCGAGGGAATGAAGTGGTCTTAGCGGGAAAGAAACACCCAGAATGCAGAGAGCATCCGCTGCTACCTGGGATGAGATGCAGGTAGAAGCCAGTGTGAACTAGAGCAGGAATGGTTTACAAAGGAAGAGTCCAAGTTAGACCTCAGGTGACAGCTGTCCATCCTCCTTCTCTCTGGGTTGGATTTTCAGGCTACCCAGAGGCAAGGAGAATGGCATGGCACTTGGCAGGCTCCTGCTGGGAACTTTGATCACAGGTACCAAAGGTCCAGTGCCAAAGAGAAGGCTTTGGTCTCAGGCTTGTCTGGCCAACCTTGCAGAGAACACCCCAGTCACCCTCCTGGCTTCTGTGGAGATGGCCACAGAGGTCTCCCAGAAGCGCCCTGGGACCCTGGCTGGACAGGCTTGGGGAAGCTGTTAGGGGCAGGTGGGGGGTCATCTCTGAGGGGGGCTGTTTACATACCCTTTTCCACCTCTCTCTTGCAGGACTACGTTATCCCCGAGATCATCTTGTACTCTGAGGAGGGCCTCCAGGGGGAGCGAGTGAAGCTAACGGATGCCTTGGAGGACTCCCAGGGCCCGGACAGGCCCCTGCAGGTGGCATCCGCCGCTGTCTCTGCAGGACTGTGAGTCTGGGCAATTCTGGAATCCCTTCCTTTAACATTCATTGTGCAGGGTGCTGGGGACGCAGAGCTGATAGGACACAACTCCTTCCCTCGGGCAGTACTTACTCTACTGGAGGGGACAGGCAAGTAAGAAGGCAGTGATGATCAGAATCCTGGGATGGGGGAGCACAGAAAAGCACCAAACCAGCCTGAAGTCAGAGAAGCCTTCCTGGAGGAAGAGACATCTCAGCTGGGATGAGTGGGCTGCAGGAGAATCTCAGCATATGGAGAGCAGGGCAGGAGGGACTGCCCTTGTTTTGTTCACCACTGTCTCCCTGATGCCTGAAGCAGGGACTGGCATGGGATAGATTCCCCTAAATATTTGTTAATTGTGTGGGGAAGAGTATATCTAGCAGAAGGAACAGCACCTGCAAAGGCCCAGAGGCAAGAGAACTAAGCCTTGAAAGTTCAGTCTGGCCCAAGAAAGTAGAAGGTGAGGAGATGTGAGGAGTCAGGAAGGGAGACATATCAAAGGGCCTCTGTGCAGCTGGACTATATTGTGGGGCTAATAGGGAACTACTGGGGGTCCTTAAGCAGGTATGTGTGCAGGAAAGAACTCTCCAGCTGTGTGAAATTAGCGCCAGGCCAGAGGAAGGGGGTGGATGGAGTGGCTACTGCAAGAGATTATGGAGGTCTGAATTGTTCTCCCGCATCGTCTTGATGGGGGCTTCTTTCCCTAAACCTTCTTCTCCCCTCTCAACCTTTCCCCCATCACCAATCTGTGTCCCTGGGTATCTGGGGTATAACTGTCTCTCTACCTCTCCCCCCAGGTGGCTGCTCTACCCCAAGCCCTACTTTGAAGACACTCCCTGCATCCTGGAGCCTGGAGACTACCCCACCTCAGAGGCCTGGGGTGGCTTGGACCCTACGGTGGGCTCCTTGAAGCCCATGAGACTGGTAAGGGGCAAGTGGTCACAAGTTACCTTGCCCTGCAGGTTGTGGGGAAGAGGCAGGGCCCAGTGGGGGGCTCCTGCTAAGAATGGGATTGAGGAGAGGGGGAATTAGCCCAACAGCTGGGGCAGAGGGAAGACAGGGGATTGGCCATTTTTAGGGATCTCAGGACCAAGTAAATCCTGGGTTACCCGTCCTCCCTCTTCTTCCTCTACCTCTGGGTTGGTGTCTCAGCTCTGTCTCCTCTGCAGGGCTGCCCAAATGTGGAGAAGCCAGGGGAGCCCAAGGTAAGAGTCTGGGCTGCAAGGTCGAAGAGGGCCTTTGGGTGGGGTGTGTGGGATATGCGTGTGGCTATCACAGCCTGGATCGGAAGACAGGGGAGGAGAGTGCAGGGGAACGGAAGTTGGGTTTGGGAAGGCGGAATCTTATGGGCTCGCTGGAAACTGGCTTTTGATGTAAGAAGCAGGTCAGAGGTCAGAGAAAAGAAACAGGAGTTACCTAAGAGAATGGAGCTCAGTGAGAGTGGGAGGACTTAGCTCTGGGCTAACTAAGGCAGGGCCTCCCTGGCTGGCTGAGTGTGTTTCAGTCCAGATGGCTCCCCAGCACCCTCACACCACCCGCTTTTCCCCAGGTTGTGGTTTACGAAGCCACAGGCTTTCAGGGCCGGAGCTGGGAAGTGAGCAGAGACATCTACAACCTTCAGCAGCCAGAGGACAGCCAGAGCCCCCACCTGGCCTCTGTGGGGTCCCTGAGGGTTCTTGGGGGCTGGTGAGGACTCAGAACCTTTCCTCCTACTTCATCCTCCCCTCTGGCCTCTACAGTGGGGGCTGGGGAATGGCTCTGGCTGCGTAGGGGAAGGGGGCAGCTGTCTTACACAGCCATGGGCCTTCCGTGACCAAGTCTGTTTGTCCCTCTGCCTTCCCCCAGCTGGGTGGGCTACCAGAAGGCAGGCTTCCGGGGCCACCAGTACCTGCTGGAGGAGGGGGAATATGCTGATTGGTCACACTGGGGAGGCTATGACGAGGCGCTGACCTCCCTGCGGGTCATCCGGACGGTAAGCAAAAACAACTGGGCCATCTCTCTGCCTGTGGACACAGCCAGATGCCCCTCACCCTCGCCCCCAGTACAGTCTGTTGAAGGAAGAGTTTGTGCCATCTCTCCCAGTTCTCCAGAGGGCCTGGAAGTGTTCCCTGAGGTCTAGCCTCTTGCCCTTCTGCTGTTTTTTCCCAAGCCATACTGATCGCCTCACTCCAAAATCCCCTGGTGGGCTGCGTCCCCGGGGTCTGGGCACTCCCGGGGGTTTCCGTGGGTGGGCAGGAGAGACCTGACTATCCCTGGGGCCCAGGACTTTGGGGACCCGGCCGTGGTGCTGTTTGAGGCCATGGACTTCGAGGGGCATGGAGTGGAGGTGAGAGAGGCATTGCCGGACGTGGAGCTGGCGCGACACGGCCCCCACACGCAGGCCATCCACGTGCTCAGCGGCGTGTGAGTGACCCGGGCTCCGGGAACGCGGCGGGCCAGGAGCGGTTCCCGCGCAGGAGCCGACCCCGCCCCGCTGACCCGCGCCCCGCCCTCCCTGCAGGTGGGTGGCCTATCAGAAGGTGGGCTTCTCCGGGGAGCAGTACGTGCTGGAGAAGGGCGTGTACCGCAACTGCGATGACTGGGGCGCCGGCAACAGCGCCCTCTCCTCGCTGCAGCCGGTCTTGCAGGTGCGCGCCAGCCGCTCTGGGTGGGGTCCTGGGGGGCGGGGACTTGGGTCCTGGGAGGAGCCCACTGCTGGGGGGCGGGGCTGGAATGGGTGGGCTCCGAGCGCGGGGCGGGGCCTCTGGAATGGGGGAGTTACCCGAGAGCTGTGAAAAGGGTCGGGAAACTGAGGCTAGAGCCTGGTACCCTCCCTAAGTCTCGAAACTTTGGGCCCTCCTTTAGGTCGGCGAGCACAATCTGCACTTTGTCTCAAAGGTAAGGAGCTGGTGGGGGGCCTGTCTCCTCTTCCCATTCTCTCTGTCCCACTCCACCGCCCTCCATTCTCAGCTCTTCGTGTCCCTGCCTGCAGATTCAGCTTTTCTCCGGCCCCGACTTCCTGGGCGACCACATCTCCTTCGAGGATGATCAGGCCTCCCTGCCCGCCTCCTTCCAGGCCCAGTCCTGCCGAGTCCACGGGGGCAGGTGAGGACATGGGGAGAGGGTAGAAGTGGGGCCCACTTGCCCAGAGCACTTAACTCAGCTTGGAAATCCAGGCTGCAGGAAGGTCTTTCTGTGAAATGATTTTTCCTCCTTGAGATTAGCTATTCTGTCCCGAATCATAAAATCTTAAAGCAAAATAAAGTTTTAATGGAAAACATAAAACTTGTAGATAGTATAGGATAAAGAACCCCAATCTTGTTTCATCTATCTCTCTGCCTTTTTTTTTTTTTTTTTTTTTTTTTTAGTGGAACATTTAAAATCCCCGACCCAACATAAAATTGCACAGGCAAATACTTAAATATATATCTCTAATAAGAAAGGACCTTCCCTGGGGCACCTGGGTGGCTCAGAGGGTTAAAGCCTCTGTCTTCAGCTCAGATCATGATCCCAGGGTCCTGGGATCCAGCCCCACATCAGGCTTTCTGCTCAGCAGGGAAACTGCTTCCTTCCCCCCACCCCCCTGCCTACTTGTGATCTATGTCTGTCAAGTAAATAAATAAATAAAGTCTTAAAAAAAAAAAAAAAGGACTCTCCCCAACCCACACAGCCACAATTTATTATCACATCTAATAAAATTAACAGTAGTTTGTTAATATTACCTAATGTCCAGTCCATGTTCAGATTTCTCCCACTGTCTTAAAAAAATGCCTTCATGAAATTGGTTTGTTTTGCTCAGGATCCAAACAAGGTCCACACACTGCTTTTGGTCAATTTGATCTTTAATTTATAGCGGTTCTGCTCCTTTCTTTTTGTTTTATACCATTTATTTGTTTAAAGAAACCCAATAGGGGGTGCCTGGGTGACTCGGTTGGTTAAGCCACAGACTCTTGGTTTTGGCTCACGTCATGATCTCAGGGTGGTGAGAGAGAGAGCCCCACGAGCCCAGTATCTGGTTCCACGCTGGGGATGGAGCCTGCTTGAGATTCTCTCTCTTCTTCTGCATCCCTCCTTCTCTTAAAAAAAAAAAAAAAAAAAAAGGAAAGAAAGAAAAGAAAAGAAAACCAATAATTTGCCCTATAAGTTTCCCTTCTTCTGAATTTGGCTTATTGCTTCCTTCTGGTCCCTTTTTTCCCTTTGTGTCCCATATTTCCTGTAAACTGGTAGGCCTGGAGGCTTGATGAGAGTAAGGGTGTTTTGTTCTGTTGACAAGAAGACTATATAGGTGGTACCTTGTACTTCTTACTGCATTATGTCAGGCACATGCCTGGTTGTCCCACTTTTAATGATATCAAGATCTCTACATTGGGGGTACCTGGGTGGCTCAGTGGGTTAAGCCTTTGCCTTCGGCTCAGGTCATGGTCTCAGCGGGAAGCCTGCTTTCCCCTTTCTCTCTGCCTGCCTCTCTGCCTACTTGTGATCTCTCCCTCTCTGTCAAATAAATAAATGAAATCTTTAAAAAAAATAAAATCTTTTTAAAAAAATCTCTACATTGTAAGATTTGCATGTAAAAAAAATAAGATTTGCCATTTATCTCTCATCTAATGGTTTTAGTATCCACTGATGATAATTGCCTACACTCACTGTTTCTTTAGAGGTCACAAAATGATGATTTTAAGATTTTTGGTATTCCTTCTACATGTGTTAGCTGGAATACATCTATAAAGAGCTTTCCCTTTTCAACTATTTGTTTACCCAAAATAGTTTATACAAAAAAGGCAGTTTGATCCTTTGCCAAGGATCAATTTCTCTTGACCAATTTTCAGAATAATTTCTGGATTGGTGCCCTAGCAACCCCCAGAGCTGACTAAAGAAATATTTTTTTAAAGTATTGTTATGAACTTATGGATTTATATGTAATTGAAATGCCTCCGTCCACTGGAGTAACTAATTCTCTTGTGTGCCCTAATCATTTTGTCTTTGGCAGTTGGGAGCCCCTTCAGATTGTCTGCTTTTGATATGACTCTAGCAGTTTTTTTATAACTTCCTTGTTTTTCTGGTACAATAAGATGCTCCAGGATCATTTTGTATATTTCTGCCTTAAACTTGAAATCAGTTATCTACCAAGGGATTCCAATTCCAATGGTATTTATATGGAACCCGAATGTTTCAAAACTATAATACTAATATTACTACTAACGGTGAAAAGCATTGAATGCTGTTTGAGGTTTCTCTGTGGTTCTTTTTGTCCTCAGGACATTCACCAACATCCCACTTCAAAATATTGTTGTTAAGACATTTGAAATAATACTTCTCGTGTGTGTGGTTATGCCACCAACCATATTGGTAAACGCTCAGGTTCCTTAATTTAACTTAATTTATTTAAATTTTTGGAATACTTTACATTTTTACTTGTTTTTTAATTAAATAAAAAAATTACAGTGTCCCTGTCTTAGCTTGGGCTGCTACAACAAAATATCATACTCTGGAAGACTTAAGTAACAGGAATTTATTTTCTCAGAGTTCTGGAGACTGGGAAGTCGGAGGTCAAGGTGCAGGCCCATTCTCAGCTCCTTGGGGAGGGCTCACTTCCTAGCTAGCAAAGAGCTGATCTGTTCCTGTGTTCCCATGTGGTGGAGAGAGTGCTCCTGTGTTTCCTGTGTCTTCCTCTCCTTTTTTTTTTTTTTAAAGATTTTATTTATTTATTTGACAGAGAGAGATCACAAGTAGGCAGAGAGGCAGACAGAGGGAGAGGGGGAAGCAGGCTCCCCACTGAGCAGAGAGCCCGAAGCAGGGCTTGATCCCAGGACCCTGAGACCATGACCTGAGCGGAAGGCAGAGGCTCAACCCACTGAGCCACCCAGGTGCCCCTCCCCCCATTTTCTTACACAAAAAGATGTACACTCCAACCTGGTGAATATACTAGAGACCACGGAATCGTACACGTGAAAGAACGAATTTTAAGCTCTGCGGGTTCTATCACAGTTTTTCAAAAGGGAAGCATGCTACAGACACTGTTCTGCCCTTGTTTGTTTTCCCTTAACAGTGTGGAGATCTCTTTATATCCCTTTAAGAGCTCTTCCTCATTCCTTTTTACTGCTATGTTATTTTTTTTTAAAGATTTTATTTATTTATTTGACAGAGAGAGATCACAAGTAGGCAGAGAGGCAGGCAGAGAGAGAGGGGGAAGCAGGCTCCCCGCTGAGCAGAGAGCCTGATGTGGAGCTCGATCCCAGGACCCTGAGATCATGACCTGAGCCGAAGGCAGAGGCTTAACGCACTGAGCCACCCAGGTGCCCCTACTGCTATGTTATTATACTCTACATTCTTAGCGGGCTTTTGTTTTGTTTTATTTTTTGGTGCGCTTTTTCGGGGTGCAGAATGGCAGTTTATTAAGGCATGGGGACAGGACCCGTGGGCAGAGAAAGCTGCTGATCTACATTCTTAGTTTAATTGACTGTCCCCTCTTGATGGGCCTGTGGGCTGCCTCCCCACGGCCACGGCCAACAGCGCTGCACGAAGAATTTTGTGCAGGTGCCATCTCAGGTTTTTAAAGGTTTCAAGATTCCAAGAAATGGGATTGCTGAGTGACTGTACATAGAGCTTTGCTTCATGTTGCCTGATTTTCTTCCCTAGGGGCCATATGATTTTATCCAGTCATTTCTGAAGTCTTTTTTTTTCTTTTTAGATTATTTATTTATTTATTTAACAGAGATCACAAGTAGGCAGAGCAGCAGGCAGAGAGAGAGGGAGAAGCAGCCTCCCCTCTGAGCAGAGAGCCCGATGTGGGGCTCGATCCCACGTCCCTGAGATCATGACCTGAGCCAAAGGCAGAGGCTTTAACCCACTGAACCACCCAGGCGCCCCATTATTTCTGAAGTCTTGACTTCAGTCTCTTGCTGCAGGGCCTGTCCACCCTTGGCCTCTCATGGGCTTGGGGGCGTGGGGGTCACAATCAAGTCTGCTTCCACTCTGCTGTATGTCAGAGGGTCTGGCAGGCCAAGTACAGGATGGGCCAAGCTCAGATACCTACTCACATCCCCCCGCTCTTCTTCTTCCCCAGCTGGATCCTGTTTGATGAGAAGAACTTCGAGGGTGATCAGCACATTCTCTCTGAGGGCGAGTTCCCTACTCTCACGGCCATGGGCTGCCTAGCCTCCACGGTCCTGGGCTCTCTCCAGAAGGTACCCCTGGTGAGTCACCGTGTCCGGGTCCAGGCAAGTCCTGAGGCAGCGGGTGCTGCTGGGGTGCGCGCCGGGTCCCAAGTCTCTTCTCACTGTGGGCGAGGCTGCCGGAGCTTGGAGCCAGTCTTCATCAAACCGCCCAGGTCCCCCTGAGCCCCTGGCTTCAAAGGCAGTTCCCCTCACTAGAGATTTATGGAGGGCCCACCGTGACAGGTCCTGGGGACACTGAAATGAATCAGACTCAACCCTGCCTTCCTGGAACCCACGGCCATACTGACATAAAGATGACATTGCAGAGTGGTGTGTCCAGATATAGAGGTGGTGTGGGGACAGGAGGGAGCAGCACTCGGGTGGGCTGGGGGCAGGGCCCGGAGCATGGACTGGGGGTTCTGTGCAGGGAGGTGGATGGAGAGCCAGCTCTGCTGTGTGAGGAGGGTGGGCGGGCGGGGACGAGACAGTAGGGCTGCTACTCCGTAAGCAGGAACAAATGATGATGTCCTGGACCAGGGAGGAGATGGAGGGAAGTGGCCCATCCACAGTAAGGAGCCGGAGTCTGGAGGACAGGGTGGGCTGGCCATGGCAGCACCGCGGAAGCTGACTGCGGAGCACAGACGGGCTCGGGGCGGCGTTTCATAGGCTTCCCGGGCACTAAGGCATTTAACCCCGTGAGGTTCGTTACTGCCATTATCTCCCTTCTCCAGATGTGCAGCTGAGGCACAGAGAGGTCATGCCACTTGCTCCAGGCCACAAATGTGGTAACAGGCAGAGCCGAGTTCTCCCAGAGGCAGCCCAGCTGCTGAGTCCAAGCTCCGCAAATATATACTGTGCTCTGAAGGCAGAGAGATGTGGTTCTGAAGCCCAGCTCTAGGGACTTGAGCAAGGGGTTTAATCGTCTCCAGACTCAGTTTCCCTTCTGTTAAGCAGGGATGATAATACCAGCACCTACCTTAGAGGAATGTTGAAAAGTTGTAAAGAGATCAGGGAAAGCACATAGCGCAGAATCCGGCCAGTGGTTAAGCCCTGAACACGTGAGAACCGCTGTAATTACTGCTGTCATCACTGTTTTTAGAAGTGCCATTCACTGGCACTGGGATGAGATTTGAGGGGGCAGTGGGGGTTCCAGTCTGGCACCTGCTGTATCTGAGATTCTGCGGTGCACCCCGCTGCCAGTGTCCGGGAATCCAGGGCCTTGTGGGGCGGAGCTCAGGAGGGAAGAGGGCCTGAAATGCGGATCTGGGAATTGGAGTATCTGGAATTGGGGGCCAAGGCGGAGGCCGAGGCTCTCTTGGCCTCAGCCCATCTCCATGCCCCCACCCCCCGACCCCAGCACTTTTCAGAGCCCTCCATTTTCCTGTATGGACTGGAGTGCTTGGAAGGGAAGGAGATCGAGCTGGACAGGGAGGTGCGCAGCCTACAAGCCGAGGGCTTCAACAACCACGTGCTGTCCGTGCGGATCAGGGGGGGCATGTGAGTGCGTTGAGAGGGGCCTGAGGGTGGGGGCTGCCAGGGAGTGAGGGCTGGGTTCCTGGCCTCTTGTCCCTTCCCACTTCCCTTCCACTCCTCGCCCATAGCCAGGAGGGAGGGAATGGGGCAGTGGGAGGAGGGCCTTGGACCCCCCAGCCTGGATCCTCTAGGACCCTCCTTTGTCCTACAAACCCCAAATCTACTTCCCAGCACTCCCTCCCCACACTTGGGACCCTAATACCAGGCAGAGGAGTCTCAGTGTGAAAGAAAAGGAGGTGGAGAATGTTCTGACATCTGTGCCTCCTCCTATGTCTGTCTGTCTGTCTTCCTCTCTGCATCTCCGGCACCTGTGGGGCCCAGCTGGGTGCTGTGTGAGCACAGTGACTTCCGGGGCCGCCAGTGGTTGGCAGGCAGCTGCGAGATCACCAACTGGCTGACATACAGCGGGACGCAGAGGGTGGGCTCCCTCTACCCCATCAGGCAGGTGGGTAGCGCGTCGGCTCATGCGTGCCCGTACTGCTGTCGGGCCGTGTGCTTCCCGTGTTGCCCAAACTCAGCTCTGGGGTACTTTCGTCACAATTTTGCCACATCATTGTGCCTCTTGAACCATTATCTACTCAGTATTTTTCTCTAAACTGACTCACTTTTTGTTTTCACTTTATCCTTCTTCTAAGGAGTGATATCCATAAAATCAGGGGTGTGATGTGTGTGTGTGTGTGTGTGTGTGTGTGTGTGTGTAGTATTTTTCTTTCATTAGCATTATAATAAATGCATTACCGTTAAATTTTTAGTAATATGTTTATCCACTTAGGACTAAAAAATCTCAGGTGCAGAGATTACTTACAAACAAACAAAAAATCTTAGGAAAGAAATAAAATGGGGATAACATATGTGATGGAGTTGTCTTAAGGACTGAAAATAATGTTTGCAAAGCCCTTAGAAGGGTACTTGTGTAGGTAAGCATTCAGCACCCGTTAGGTGCTGTTCTTCTGTTAGTGCCATCACCACAATTCAGGACCCCTGGCTGATCTGTGGCAGAGCCCGGTCTGATGCGTGACAACCAGGTGTCTGCCCCACCATGGTTCTTCAGCCCAGTGTGTGTGTGCATGTCCGTGTGCATACCTGCATCTGTCCTGTTAGCAAACATGGGGTGTGGAGTCGGCTGGGGTGGGGGGCTGTGTGTGCATGGCTGCGTGTGTCCGTGTGTTTGTGGCTGCTGCAAACCTCTGCCCAACCGCGGGGACCTGGGGCGTCTCTGCCAACGTGTCCCCGTGCACGTGGCTGCAGGTGTCTGTGGTCACGGGTGTGCACCACGGCTGCCCCCCTGATACCCGTGTGTGAGAGAAGGGACTTAGAAGCAGGGCCAAGGAGGGGTTCTGGCAGGGAGGAGGGACTCGAGGGCTGGGGATCTTTGTGGCTCCCCAGCTGAGGGTGTCAGGGGCCCAGCTGGGGGTGCCTCTCACTCTCAGCTCCTCTGCACCCCCCCAGCGTCGGGTTTATTTTCGCCTCTGGAATGCCGCCCTGAGGGGATTCCTGGCAGTGCCAGACCATGTGGAGGACATGAAGGCTGGCCGTGTGGTGGTCTCCGAGCCCCAAGTGGGAGGCAGCTGTGTCTGGTACTACGAGGATGGGCTACTGAAGAACCAGGTACCAGCTGAGGAGCTGGGAAGGGGACCCCAGAGCCCCAGGCCCTTGAAGCCTCCTTGTGTGGGGAAGTCCCAGCCAGTGGGGACCTGCCCTCGGGCCAGAAAGACAGAGAGAGACACACATACCTGCCAGGACCCTGGGGAGGGGGAGACGGCAGGCTCTGCTCCCCTGGGCGGTTTGGGCTCTTCTCTGGGCCTCAGTTCCCCATCTGCAAAACGAGAGTGTAGAACCAGACACTTCTAAGGGAACTCCCAGCTCTGATATCCTGGGACAGAACTTGGATCCTATTAATAAGGATAGATTCACTCCACAAACATTTCCCGAGCACCTACTGTGGGCTAGGGGCCCGGAATAGAAATGACTCTTGCCTTCCAGAACTGACATCATAGTGGGGAGAGACTGAAACCATTTAAATGAGTAAAACATCTCCATACGTTGGGAGGCAAAAGGTGCACTAGGGGAAAAAGAAATGAAAGGGGGATAGGGAGTGGCTGTAGCTCTGACAAGAGAGGGCCTTTCTAAGAAGGCAGCGTGTGAGGAAGGCAGCCGTGTAGGTGTCCGCAGAAGCGCTCTCCTGGCAGAGGAAACAGCAGCGGCAAGGCCCTGAGGTGGGAACCTGCCTTGCAACAGGACCAGCCAGCTCACATCATGGGCTGGAGTGGAGGGAGGGAGGGAGGGAGGGAGGGAAGTAGCAAGAGAGGAGGTCAAAAAGGTTGTAGGGGTATGGGTCTTTGTAGGCTGCTGAAGGAGTTATGCCTTTTATTTGAAATGAGAGAGAACCTGTGGCAGGTGCTGTGGTAAGCCCTTCACACGAATGCCTTGTACGATCCTCAGAGGGCACTATGAGGCAGGTCTTGCCATACTCTCCTTTTTATAGATGAGGAAACTAGAGCACAGAGAAGTTAAGTAACAGGCCGAAAGTCACACAGGCAATAGTAGGTGAAAGCTTGTCTTATGCCAAGTCTTATGCTTTGGGAGTCAGTCATGAGAGGCTTCCTGGAGGAGCCATTTTTCCAGATCTTTTACGGTTTTTCACATTGAATGCTTGCAGCAGCCAGCACGAAAAGATTCCCATCCCCAGGGAACCCAGTGCGCAGAAGGATTAAGAGATTGACCCAGGGTCACAGTCCATGAGAGCCAGGATTCAAAGCTGGGTGTGTGCTAAGGGTGTCGGGTTTGGTGGAGTCACTGATGACCTCCTGGGGTCTCAGGTGGCCCCAACCATGAGCCTGCAGGTGATCGGTCCTCCCAGCACGGGCTCCAAGGCGGTGCTGTGGGCTGAGAGCCGCCTCCCCCGGCAGACGTGGAGCATCAGCGAATTGGGCCACATCTGCAGCCAGATGTTTGAAGGGCGGATCCTAGATGTGAAGGGTAAGGGGGCTGGTATGTGGGAGAAGGCACCTGAGGGGGGCTGTGGCCACTGGGGTCCAAAGAAGCATCTCCCCATATCACCCTCCTTCCTCCAGGTGGCCGGGGCTATGACCGGGACCACGCGGTGCTGTGGGAGCTGGCCGAGGACCGGGCGTCCCAGATCTGGACCGTCCATGTGCTCTGACACCGCAACCCCGCCCCGCCCCCCCCCCGCCCCGTTCCCCCGCCCTGGAGGCTTTCCATGGGATGAAATATTTTTTGTAGATTTTGTTGTTGTTGTTGTAAGATAAGCTGTTTTCTAATATGCTCCCAGGTATCTTCATCTTTTTGCACCTTGATATTTGGGGCTGGGGTGAGGATTTGTTCACCTGCCTCCTTTCCCACGTGTGTGCCCTACTTCCTTCCTCCCAGCCCTGGTTCCATGGCTCAGGTGTAAGGCCTCCCTCGCCACCAGAGGGAGTCCTGGGCCCAGACGAACTGGTAGAGTGTTTATGCCGTCACCCTAAACCTGACCTCAGAGATCTCACAGGCCGCTGGAGGGTTGCAACAGGGAGGGTGATGCACTCAGCAGCAGGATAAGAAGGGAGGTAGAGGGGTGCACAGGGGAGGGACCGGAACCATTTAAGGGCACAGGGCAGGGTGCTGGGAAGAAGGGATAATCGGCTCAGATGTGGAGGAACGGCAGGGAACAGCTAGGTTAGGGGGTGGCAGAGGAAGAGTGTTCTGGGATGCAGGTAAGTCAAGACATGAAGACTTGGAAGCTCGGTGTGATGGGGTCGCAGCGGGTCAGGCAGGAGAGCTGCATGGGAGACCCACCCCCAGGGACCTTGCCCACCAGCGTTCCTCTTAATTTCCCCCAACTCCAGTCTCAAGGCCCAAACTTTTTCTGGCCTCTTAGTCGAAGAAGCCAGGACAGGGGGTCTGGGTTCTTAACCCAGCCTAGAGAAGGCAGGACATCGAAGAGGAGCAGCTCCCTCCATCCCCCAATCTAGCAGGCACTTCTCAGCCCCTTGGCCAAGGTCCTTTAGGAAGAGACAGAGAAGGTCAAGGCCCTTGGGGCTTCTCTGGGGCTCCCTTCCCTCCTCGCAGCTCCCAGGACCAGCATTGCAGATCCAAGAGGGTAGAAGTGGTTGGAGGAGCTGTGTGTCCTTCCTGCCTTCCCAGCCTGGGTTTGGTGGGGAATCAGTGGACGGCCTTCTCTTCATCCTTCTCAGGCCCTTGGTGGACGAGTGTCCGGTGTCTGGTGAGGACAGGAGGGCTGTCTCCCAAGGGGTGAGGCTGGGGCCTGAGACCCCAAGAGACTGCGGGGCGGGTTCTTCTCTGAATCTGGCATTCTGAACCCACCCAGGGATTGCGGTAAGGGACTCTCTGAGCCTCTGCCGCTTGGAATGGCCAGGGGCAGGATGGGGGTGATACTCTGGGACCATAATTCCCAAACACCCAGAGATGGGGGAAACAAATGCAACTAAAAAGGGTGGCAGATTCGGGGCCATGTCCCTGCCAGGTGAGCCTGAGGGGAGAGGCTTCCGCCCTGGAATTTGGGAGCTGGAACACTGGGGTAGGAGCTCTCCAGAGCCATCGCTCCAGCTGATGGGGCGAGGGCAGATCCTTGGTGCTGCTGCAAGCCAGGCTCTCCGAGCCCAGCGATGTCCAGTGACCACACACAAGACCCTAGGCCAAGTATAGTACATCTTTATTGACCCCCAGCTGGGTGGCGCTTGCCCCTGTGTATGAGTACCTCCCTGTGAGGGTCACTGCCTCCAAGGCACTGCCTCTCAGTTCCGACAGCTTGGTCATCTCTGGCATCAACCCCTCCCAGGGACGTGGTGGCGATGGTGGCGGGGGGAGCTTCTCTTGCTAGTGATGGTGGCCGCTGTCTCAGGGGGCCCGGGGCTAGGGCTGAGGCATGTCACCTCAGCTGAGATAGAAGAGCTGGATGAGGGTGTTGGCCAGGAAGAGAAGGACACCGCCACCGCCCAGGCTGCTGAGTGCTGGGGTTGCACTCCTGGGTTTCCTGGTGGTGGTCACAGTGGTTGTAGTATTGCTTCCCAGGACATGAGTTTGTATCTGCAAGAGAAGTGAGGGCAAGCTCAGGGGCTTTCGAAGCTCACGTTACGTAGAGACCTAGTTCCCCTAACCTGATATGACAGATCTCGGTTCTCTGTCCCCCATGACCACAACTTCTGCCACAAGGTCCTGTGGGGACAGGACCTTCCTGCCTTGACAACAGGCAGGTTCAAAAGTGGTCCCTCTTCTGCTTCCCACGGAACCTTCCTTTCACCTCCGCCAAGCCACCAGCTCCTCCAGCACGTAGGAGACAGGAAACCTGTGGTCTCAGCCCTTGACCTGACGAACTGGGCTAGGGGGCTTAGCCTCTTTGAGCCTGCTTCCTCGTCTCCTGAATGAGCCCATCACAGTCTTGAGGTCGTGTGGCACAGGGGTGGGGAGAAGACACTGGCAAAGTGTGGGCGGGCGAGGAGGTGGGGAGGGTGTGACCTCTTGCCCGAGGAAATTGCCAGATGGTGAGCAAACTGTTCTCAATGCTTGATGAGGCTACAAGTAAAGTTGCCCCTGATGGAGATGAAGCTGTTTTTGATGGTGATCAGGCTGTTCTTGATGCTTGATTGAGCTGTTCTTGATCTAGAACTTGATGCCTCTAGTCTCCTATGCGGCCTAGCGCCGTGAGGGCACATGGGATGTTGCCAGGGCTGCCTCCTGAAACAGCAGTTGACTTTGAGACTCCAGCTGTTTCTGGAGTGGGAGATTTCTGTCTTCTTTACATTCCCAGACACACAGGCTTTTCTCCTTGGGGTGTCCCCCGATATCTCCAGGATCAGCTCTGGCTCCACTTGAACCTATTCTGGCCCCTTCCCAACAGGGCCACTTCCCCCGCTTCCCCAGGGATCAGTGCCATCCTCACACCCAGCTGTCTTCCTAAGCCTCATCTTTCCTATTCCATGTCAGCCCACTGTGTGCCTCACTGTGCCCGGCACCCCGTCAATACCCTCCCCACCACCCCCCCAAGTAGTCTATCCCAGCCAAAAGGGCCGGAAGGCTGGGACCAGGTCCCCTGAGTCCTTGGTTTACCTGCTGGACCTTGTGTTCCCCCTGGAAGGAGGCTGAGTGCCCAGGAGCCTGCATTTCCTACCTCCCCTGCCAGGCAGGTCTGGGGAGTCGTGGGTGGTGGTGTCAGGGGGCTCCAAGGGGCTGTTCTTACCTGAATCATAACCAGGACACTGATGGTCAGTAGGAGGAAGAAGAAGCCCTTCATCTTTGGAGAATCTTGTGGCTGTCTTAGCAGCAGTCTTTTTTCAGATGAGCTCAGGCTTGTCTGCAGGCCTCTTGGCTTGCCTGCTTTTGAACCAGGAGGCAGAGGAGGCGGGGTAGAAGCAGGAAGAAGGAGGGCCCAGGCTGTGGGGTGGGGTGCTTCTACCTTTCTACAGGCCTAATGATTGAGGACAACAGGCCCTAGGTTCTAAGGCCCTCCGTAGATGGTAGGTTCTGGATAGGGACTGAGGCACGTGTCAAGATGGGAGATAGGCAAACCAAGGGACCATCTGTGGGACAGCAAGCAGGGCCCTGGGCTTGGAGTCCAGAGTAGGAAGTGAATGTTAGTCTAACCACCTCTCCACCCTGAGACCTGGGCTAGCAACTGGCCTCTTTGAATCTTTAACACAAGAGATGTTATTATTTTTTTTTAAGATTTTATTTATTTATTTGACAGGCAGAGATCACAAGTAGGCAGAGAGGCAGGCAGAGAGAGGAAGGAAAGCAGGCTCCCCGCTGTGCAGAGAGCCCGATGCGGGGCTCGATCCCAGGACCCTGGGATCATGACCTGAGCCGAAGGCAGCGGCTTAACCCACTGAGCCACCCAGGCGCCCCAAGAGATGTTATTATTATTATATAATCTCTTATTATAAGAGATTCTATTACTAAAGGTAATAGAATTAGGAAGATTGGAGCAGGGGACAGGAGCTGAAAAGAGGGCTGAGATCGGCTTAGGTTTCAAGGTAAGGATCTAGCTGGCTTCGCAGGTTCAGAACAAACATTTGGGGCCCATGAAAACTTAGCATTAATAGTTCTCTGTGAAATCAAAGGGGATCCGGAGACCTAACTTCTGGTTGAGCCCATTCCCTCCAGGTCTCATGCTTCACCTTTCCAGTGAGAAGACTGGAATGGATGAGTATTTTAACGCCTAGAATTTTGTGATTCGGATATGAAAATAGCAGATGGGTTGTTTGTATTGCTGACTTTAAAAAATGAAACCGTTATTCCATCAGCAAAAACGGGTTTATTTGGGAATAGCAGAGACTTGCAATTCTGGACCAGCAAGGTACCCCAAAACCCAGAGGCTAGCCCAACAAAGGAGAGAAACTTCATTTAATGGAGAATTCTGGAGGAGGAAGTTGGGAGGAATTGTTTTGACCAGAAGTCTAAAGGAGAGAAGGCGGCAAGTCCAGGTGGTGATGATTTCTCATTGGCTGAGCTGGTGGGGTGGTCCGCTTCTTGCAGGAGTTGTAATGAACCGCTTTTCCTGTTGGGGTCTGTAACCGACAAATCTTTCTGTAATTGAGGTTGGGCGATATGGCCTGAGAGCTCCTCCTGGTGGCCTCTCCCTCCATTTTCGTGAGGCTTCCTCTTTCCACATTTCCTCCTTTTCATCCAGATCTTTCTCCAAAACTATCCCTTATCAAGAGTCCGGTTTTCCTAATTCAGTGGCCTTTTGTCCCGCGGTGACAGGAGGGGCCTTCCCTGGGTGTTATTTCCCAAATCAGGGTAATTGTACTGGTAGGAAATTCCCATTTCAGGAAGAAGGAGGGGAAGCAGAACTCTCAGGCACTTCCCGCTTACAGTTCCCATTAATCAAGATCGTAGTATCAGAGACCATCTCCTTGTTGGGTACATCGTTTTAGAAAGGTCTGACAGGCAACAAGTACAGAATCAAAAGTAATATGACGATTCCAAAGATATAGTTTGTGGTTCCAAAACCAGGCTCTGAAAGCAGCCAACTGAAAATATGGACACTTAATGCCAGCATAGGGGAGGAAAGTTCTCCCAGTGGAGGCAAACCCCCAGTGACCTATGCCTCCTGGACGTGCCTGTTTAACTCAGCGGTGAATGCAGAAGAGTGAATACTGCAAGAGTTCTTTGAAAGAATTCGCTGAGGACATTGGTGAAGATACAGTGCGGGTATGA